TTTTGGAACACAACCAATAAACACATACAATACACTCAGACTCCCCCACACAAAATCCTCCCCTGCTTGCCACAATGGGTAATGTAATTATCACAAGCAGAGAAATACAACTTTTCCACATTATTCGTAACTTGAAAAGTATTCATCACATTCACATTTTCAGAATCAGCATACTCCAAATACAAACATTTGTCAAAATCATCCAAATTGGTCCAGTAGTTCAAAAGATAGATCGTAGTCCTTTGTGACCAAAAGAAGCATGGCTTTTCTGCCCAAAACCAGTTCCACAGAGTCTTCTATCCTGGAGATAATTGGGAAGTAATCCAATATCTCCAAGGACAGAGTCAAAACTCCACTGAACACATGGCAGCAAAAGACAATAAAACACATAAAAACATATAACTGTGCAGCCATTGCACAAAACAGGTACATTCAACATATCCCCAGATAGCTCAGATCTGAGCGCACATTATTACTGACTGGCGCTCAGAGCACACACATACAGTTCAATTGCCATGGAGCGAAAGTCTTTCCCATAGTCTTTCATTATACGAATGGGCTCCATGGCATAGCTATCTGGGGTATCACCGCTCAAACAGGGCCAGCACCGAATGACCCGGCTTTCGTGTCTTCGCAGGGGAAAATCAAGCGTTTCAACATGGGCCATAGTCTAAAGGCAGCAGGCGGTCAGCCAGGCTTCTCCAATGCAATGTGGTGAGATTGCTCTCGTCACATCTCTCCCCTTTTCCAAACAGACTAACAGGGTATCTGACCTCCTGCCGGTCAGTGCCCTTGTTAGTTCAGCAGCCCACCCACAAAACACAATCAGCAGTACAGCCCACCCACAATACCTGGGTAGAGGAGAAACTTGTCCATGTCCAGGTGCCTCACCACAGCTGTGCGGGGGACTGGTAGGCTGCTTTGGTGATTGGGCAGAGACCAGCGGTACTCTGCCCTGGTACCAGCGCTACTGAGGAGGTAGCCTGGTTGGAGCCTGGTTGTTGGAGGGGGAGACCGACTGTCTCCCCTTTAGATACACAGCTCTGCTGCCGGAGGGGGAGACCGACTGTCTCCCCTTTGGCTAAACAGCCCTGTCGCTGGGGGGCAGAACTGACCGTCCTTACCCCCTGTGCTGTAAGTGCAGAGACCACGGTCCCATCTGCACAGTTGTGGGGATTACTGTCTCCCCCTGGTACATTAAGCTGCCGCTGGGGAGAGGGGGTAACAAGCTACTCTCCCATATATACTTCCAGCCACGGGGGAGGGAGACCGACTGTCTCTGCTCCCAATACAGGGTCCTGCTGCTGGGGAAAGGAGACTGGGCTCTCTATTCCCTGTAGGACACTCTGCCGCTAGGGAATGGAGACTGGGCTCCCAATTCCCACTAAATCATACTGCCGCTGGGGAATGGAGACTGGGCTCTCAATTCCCACTAACTCAGCCTGCCGCTGGGGAATGGAGACTGGGCTCCCAATTCCCTGTAATTCACACTGCCGCTGGGATCTGAGCCGACTGCCCAGCATCCCTGTAGCTCACCCTGCCACTGGGGAGGGAGGACGTTGCTCTCCTCTCCCTGCAAGGTACACTGCCGCTGGGGGACAGGACCAACTGTCTCTGCCCCCTGTAACTCAGCCTGCCGCTGGGGAATGGAGACTGGGCTCCCTATTCCCTGCATATCACACTGCCGCTGGGTAATGGAGACTGGGCTCCCAATTCCCTGCATATCACACTGCCGCTGGGGAATTGAGACTGTGCTCCCAATTCCCTGCAGTACCTGCCGCTGGAGTTCCTCCCAACGTGCCAGCTGACCTTCTCTTTCTGCCCGGTATTGCAGATTCCTCAACACTATGTTCCTTATAAGCTGCACCGATTTCTCCGGTGGATTGGGTCCGTAGTGCTTCAGCCGCAATCCCATCATATTGTCAAACTCTTTCATAGAGTAGCTGTACGCCACTGCTGGTTCCATCCTGGTGCTGTCAGGGTCGCTGTACTGGGACATGCATTGCCCTTAACTTGTAAATCCAAAGAAATGGTGTCTCCTGTAGCTGTCCTTCTGGCTGTGGGAACGATCCCACTGCTTGCCACCAATTGTAACGGCACCCCGGGCATAAAAGGGGTTAACAGCCGTTTACTAGATCTTCCCCTTCCAGAGACACAGGCACAGCTACTGTAGACACCAACCCACCGAACCGGAGAAGCATATGAATGCTCTCAAACATACCAATGCTGTAGACAGCTGAATAGGAAAAACCATACGAATAGGTTTACACTCCTAGCTGTCAAACTGGAACAGCATACAATAAATCCCCCCAAGAACGAGACAAGGCTCCGTTTTGAGGGTCAAGCAGGAACAGACAGAGCTGTTGGTTTATTGTTCTTATATACACATTAGAACCACCCACAGGGTTTTGGAACACAACCAATAAATACATACAATACACTCAGACACTCCCACACAAAATCCTCCCCTCTGCCTGTGATACAATTACCTTACACAATGGGTAATGTAATTATCACAAGCAGAGAAATACAACTTTTCCACATTATTCATAACTTGAAAAGTATTCATCACATTCACATTTTCAGAATCAGCATACTCCAAATACAAACATATGTCAAAATCATCCAAATTGGTCCAGTGGTTCAAAAGATAGATCGTAGTCCTTTGTGACCAAAGGAAGCATTGCTTTTCTGCCCAAAACCAGTTCCACAGAGTCTTCTATCCTGGAGATAATTGGGAAGTAATCCAATTATCTCCAAGGACAGAGGCAAAACTCCATTGAACATATGGCAGCAAAAGACAATAAAACACATAAAAACATATAACTGTGCAGCCAGTGCACAAAACAGGTACATTCAACATATCCCCAGATAGCTCAGATCTGAGCGCACATTATTACTGAATGGCGCTCAGAGCACACACATACAGTTCAATTGCCATGGAGCCAAAGTCTTTCCCATAGTCTTTCATTATACGAATGGGCTCCATGGCATAGCTATCTGGGGTATCACCGCTCAAACAGGGCCAGCACCGAATGACCCGGCTTTCGTGTCTCCGCAGGGGAAAAATCAAGCGTTTCAACATGGGCCATAGTCTAAAGGCAGCAGGCGGTCAGCCAGGCTTCTCCAATGCAATGTGGCGAGATTGCTCTCGTCACATCTCTCCCCTTTTCCAAACAGACTAACAGGGTATCTGACCTCCTGCCGGTCAGTGCCCTTGTTAGTCCAGCAGCCCACCCACAAAACACAATCAGCAGTACAGCCCACCCACAATACCTGGGTAGAGGAGAAACTTGTCCATGTCCAGGTGCCTCACCACAGCTGTGCGGGGGACTGGTAGGCTGCTTTGGTGATTGGGCAGAGACCAGCGGTACTCTGCCCTGGTACCAGCGCTACTGAGCTACAGGCGGGCAACCAGGCTTCTCCAATTGCTCTCGTCACAGTAACTTAAAGCCCAGAAACCAGGGAAGAGACAAACCAAAAGGTTTGAAACGCAGAGAGAAAGGAGGGCACACTTTAATTAGAGATGCAGAAGATGCACAACAGGTGACCATATAGGTAGACCAGCATAATTTTTACCAGTCAAGCGACTACCAGATCAAGGGCTAAAAGCAAACCTGTGCTCAACACCTGTAGGACATAGGAGAGATCTGCGAACCCCAATGTGTAACCCATTAGTCACTGTTACCGAAACCTGCGTGCCTTATGCTACTAACCATGCCACTTTCTCTTTCCTGTGTTGCTGAATTTAACTTAAATATAAGGAATTACACAAACCTACCTAGGGCCTGTGTGCCGCTCGATTGATGATTAAGGTGAGATCTGCGTATCTCAGGTTATACCCATACCTCACCATGTTGAAACCTGCCTGTTTCCAGTTAATCCTAAACTACAAACTCTAGAATTCCTGCGACATTATTTAACATGCACAACAAGACCTGCGAGTCTCAATTTCAGGGCCGTCTTTAATATTGATTGGACCCTGGGCAAAGCATTTGCTTGGGCCCCTGGAACCTGTCCCCCCTCACCAGGCGTGCAATCACGTCCTCCACCCTAACGAAGTGGCAGACCTAAAGTAGAGAGGTGCAAGAATTTTTTTGAGCCTCCCTATCGCACGGGCGATTAGAAGGTAGATCCCCATCTGTCGTGCAACTCCAGCAATGCACTGACAGCTGGGGCTCTTCCATTTACCCATGTTTGAAGGTTTGTATTTAGCACTAAGCTGTTGTGTGTTTGAATGTTAGCAGGTTTTTGTATGGAATATGTTTGTATGTGGTGTTGGCGTACGTGCAAGCATGTATTTATGTGTAGTGTTGGTTTTTGAATGCAAGGGTGTGTTTACATATAATTTTGGTGTGTAACTCAGACGTGTGTTTTGGAGTTTGAATGCCAGTGTGTATTTGTATGTGATGTTAGTGTGTGAATGCTGAGATGTATGCACATATACACACACACATATATCGATATATATATATATATATATTTATGGCATACACAGACAGACATACTGGTACACAGACATACTGACACACACACAGTCAGACCTACTGACAGACAGGGACCTACTGACAGACACACACAGACATACTACACACACACAGACCTACAGACAGACACACATACACACACAGACCTACTGACAGACACACACACAGACCTACTGACAGACACACACACACACACACATAGACCTACTGACAGACACACACACAGACATACTGACACACACCCAGACAGACATACTGACACACACCCAGACAGACATACTGGCATACACAGACACATACTGACACACACACAGAGACATAGTGGCACACACAGACAGACATAGTGGCACACACAGACATAGTGGCACACCCAGGTAGACATACTGGCACACAGACACACAGACATAC